AGTATACATCAATAAGACAACCAGAAAGTACTTACTTGCAAGTAAAGGATTAAAATCAATCTTATACATTCAAAATAAATAACATTATATTGTATCATTTTCCTTCCTAGGCTACCCATTTAGAAAAATTACAATATAATGAATGAGAATAAACATAATTTTTTGTTACTACTTATTCAGGATTCACAGTGATCTGACCAAGCATCTATCTGTGGCTAATATAGAAATAGCCCACTGATCTAGATAGATACCAGACTTCTAACAAATTCAACTTTCTAAAATCATAAGCAAAAAAAGCCATCTGAACAACTATCAGGATTGGCTACATAATTTATGGGGCCCTGATCAAAATGAAAACGAAGGACCTCTTGCTCAGAAGACCAATAATTTTTAAATGACGACAGCAGAGCATTAGCCATGCTGTCCTTCTGAGCATGGGTCCTGTGTGACCAAACAGGTAGGATACTCATAAAGCTGTCCCTGGCAAACAAACTAGTTAACACAAAAGCTCTGGACTAAGGCCATGCATTTTATTCAAGAGCTTTATTCTGTAATAGAAGTCCTCTAACTCTCATTTTATTCTATATGCACATTTATGAACATGATTACCTCATCTGATGGACTAAGGACAATCAAAATCAACACATAAGAACTGAGTGGAAAATTTCAAAAGGAAGAAGCCCTCTTCTGAAGGGAAAAGTGAAGAAACACTAAGAAGCAAACCCAGCTATATGAATTGTAATAATGAGGCCAGGAAAGAGTAACTTTTTCTATGACACCTTGTTTGCAAGGACATCTAATACATTTTAGAAAATATTCATCAAAAAAAGGAAGGACTCAATGGGGCAGCAGTGTGCTGATAAAACATTTAACAACTGGTTGTCTGGGGGAAAGCTCTGATTTGCAGCATTTGTCAATTTCCATGATATAAATACTAATTGTGACAGATTCCAGGTACCAAGGTGAGAATGCAGGATATGCAATTAGGAAGAGATGCACACAATTGGTTCTCCAGCGAATGTAAGCCAGCTCCAGCATACTGCTGAAATGGGGAAAACATTAGGTGCTACCGGCAGTGAAAATATAAGACAGGCCTGGAGCACAAGAGGAGAAATAAAATTCAGTTCTGTTCCTTATAAAACATTTTGTTCCAAGGGTTAGCAAAGAGAGAAGGTGACTGTTGCTATTTGCTAAAATAGGATACTAATTCCAATGGCAAAATTATCTTGGATAATAAAAAATTGACTACATAACTATTTCCCTTGTCATTTTTCTTCCAAAAATAATTATCTCTGAATAATTTCACAGTTAAAAATTGTATGCCTAAAGAGCAACCAATTGTAAAAACAACTGAAATTATGCCAGTGATACAGCTTTAAAAAAATAGTAATATTTGTTTTTAAAAAGGAGAGCATGGCCAAGTAAAAATATTTCCTCTTTTATGTTCCAATATTTTAACCTATGAATCACCCTCTAGGAGTACTATCATACCAGAGATATGCAACTCTTAGTCTTTACTGCAAAAGCATAAGTCTTCGCTAACAGTTTTAGTTGCCTCCAATAGAAAGGACAGTGTGATGTTAAAATGTAAACATTTCAAAACACCATAGGCTATTTTGAGAATTCCTAATTCAAAAGACCTCTCCCAACCTCAGGAACACTTTAAAATTTCTTCAGAGTCAAGTAGTCAACCAAATTCTGGCTCAGGGCATGATACCATAGAAGACACTTCCCTGATGGTCTTTTAGGTGGCAGCCATATTACTTATCCAGCATGCCTGGCATTTCCTAGATCCCTTTTGAATCGCCCTTCTAACACCCAGAAGCATCAAAGAGAGGTCTGGGGATGACTACTCCCTCTTACTGTAGCCACTCTCTCCTCCAAAGAGGACAGGGGTTAAAGTTATCTTTTTAAAATTATCTAATAAAACTGTAGTTGATCAACTTACTATTTTTCAAGAGTATTTACAGAGTGCTTATTACATCCAAGCACTGTTCTAGGACTCATAATTTTGATATGTTTCTTAGGTATCAGTCCAATTCTGACAGTGTTTGGAAGGCAAGGTAATATACTGTACACATGGAAGCCTCTTGAAAAAAAGCTCTGGAATGAATGCCAAGATAAGACACACTGACATACATTAGGGAAGCCTATATGACTGATTATTTTCATTATCTCTGTTTAACATAAGCTTGGTCTTTAAAAAAAAATCCCAGAACCTATATGGACATTATCAGTTTTAATCAAGCGTCTTTTTTTGCCATTATAACTTTCTAGTATGAGCACATAGAATGTCCTACTTAATTAGAGATCCTCTAGGCATGGACACCTAGAGATTTGGAAACACTCATTATTTTGGTCCATTAAAACATACATACACACAAACACACATATGTGCACACACACCCTAAATGGGATCAATCTTTGGGAAGCCAAGTAGATGAGTGTAGGTTTCCCATTCTTGGAAGTAGATGATATCATTACCCTAGCAACTGCTGTGAGATGCTCATGCCTGTAAGAACTGTGACAAGAAACTCCTTTTGATAGAAGTTTCCCTGAGAGCAGAAAGGTCAGAATCAGGTTGCAAAGCTGTGGACATGTCAGGGTCTTCAGATCTCTCTTCCACAAGCCAGCCTTACCATCTGGAGATAGATGAACATTATTGATCTTTCAATATCCTCTTCACCAAGAAGAAAGAATAATAACTTACAAGAATATTAGTAGCACTGTACTTCCTGAAAGTCTGAGAAGAATTATTATCCAAGCCATGGAAGCACATAGGAAAGGGTAGCCTGCAAGGGGCTAAGCATTTATGTGTGTTATAATTTATGCATATATATGTGTATGTATACCACAGATAGAATAACTATAAATAATATGGAAATGTAATATATATGATCTATAATGTATGGTATAGATAATCCATTATATAGACCATAGAAAAGGTAGGTGACAATGTATATTTTATTTCTTACACTTAATTTCATTGCTCTCCTAAGCTGTATGAAAAAATCCTGCAAGCTTGGCATGGTGGCTCACGCCTGTTTTCCTAGAACTTTGGCAGGCCAAAGTGGACGGATCACTTGCACCTAGAAATTTGAGACCAACCCAGGCAACATGGCGAGACCCCATCTCTACAAAAAATACAAAAAAAAAGTAGCCAGGTGTAGTGGCACAAATATGTACTTCTAGGTACTCAGGAGACGGAGGTGGGAGGATCACCTGAACCCAGGGAGGTTGAAGCTGCAGTTAGCCAAGGTCACACCACTGCACTCCAGCCTGGGCAACAGAGCGAGACCCTGTCTCAAAACAAAAACAAAAACAAAACCTGCAGCCAAGTTGCCCCTGAAAACTGGAATGATGTCAGACCAGCAGATTCCCCATATTGATATTAACTAAATCACTGCTTTCTTTGAGATAGACTAGAGCAGGCACTCTCCACTCTGGAGCAGGTCTACTCTACTTTGGAGCAAGCACCAAATCTCATGGGCTTACACTACCTGGGTGACCTCACGCAAATTACTGAAACTCTCAGGTTCATCATCTGTAAAATGGGGATAATAATTGTATGTGTTTCCTAGGGTTGTTATGAAGATTAAAGAAGTATTTGTAAAACTTCTAAACCAGCGCCTGTTAAATAGTAAGGACTGCGTAACTGCTTAAAAAAATAGAAAGAAAGAAAGAAAAAATATACTGTGGGAGTATCTTATGGTTTTCTAATGTTTGCAGAGGCAGTAAGAATTTTACTCACCTATATATAACATGAGCACATAACTCATTCTCAGTTTCTTGATTTTTCTTTAACATTAACAAGCCTCTTTTCAGAGTTTAAACAAATCACAAAAGAATTTTTAAGTTATTGTTAAAATGGACATGATTTATAAATTGGAATGAAAGTGCCATTCTCTTCCCTTAAATGCATCAGATGATCAACAAGTTTTTTCCTAGATACAAGAAATTCCTTTAGTACCTGCTTTGGCATGGCTGGCATAGACATATTTATATTAATAACTCAGATGAAAACAATTTAATACTATTGTTAAGCACAATATGTTTTATTATGTTCTTATAATTAAATAATTATATCTTTATATAAAACAATGCATTCTTTTCTACAGTTTGCAGTTTGATTTCTTTTATCGTTAATGTCATTAGGGAATTCTAAATTTCCTAATTTCTCCAAAACACTGACTGAGAGTTGCAGAAAGACAAATATAAAACCAGATTAACTGCAGGTGATAACAGCATGTAGATAATTTATTTCTGAATCCAAAAGAATTAAAGTTTTGAAGGTGCTGTGTCTCTCCTTAGCCTAGAATCCCAAGGAGTTTTTATACTTACAAGTCAACAGATTAACATTCGTGATGATTCACTGTTTCAAAATAACTTATATGGTACATCCAAAGTTACTGCTAGAAATATTGCTGGCATTGGTTTCTTTAAGCACATTTAAACATAAAAAGCCCAATAGAAAAATCAGAGCTTCTACATTTGGACTAAAAAGAGGACACACACAGAGATCTGTTCTTTCTTTAATAGAATGTATTTAAATAGTAGACTTGAGTGGTGTTTGTAAGTATGACATTGTGGGAGGGAAACTATATGAAGCAAAGGCTATACCTTGAATAGACTGTTATTACTGCACCCATCACCTCCAAACAGGCCAGGGGATGGTAAGTGCCTTTCCCACAAAACAGAGCTTCTTAATCAAGGCCTTAGCACTTACTAGTTCCTGTCATGCAATAAGCAATCAAGAAAACACTAGCTTAAATAAAGACCATACAAATGGATCATTGTCTTAAGTAGCTTACAGGCTAATTTGGAGGTGAGATTAATTTTGGATGTGGGATAATCAATCCTGAAGACAAATAGTGTCATCAAATGCCAAAGAGGATGTGGAGAAATCTGAATACTTGTATTAGGTTGGTGCAAAAGTAATTGCAGTTTTTGCCATTGCTTTTAATCATCACTGTTACATCACTGGTGGGAATGTAAATGGAGCAGCTACTTTAGAAAACTGTCTGGCAGCTCTTCAAAGTTTAAATATAGAGTTACTATATGACCCAGGAATTCCACTCCTAGCTGTATTTCATTTCAAGAGAAACAAAAACACATGTACACACAAAAACTTGCACATGAATGTTCATAGTATTAATCATAACTAAAAAGTGGAAATAACCCAAATATCCATCAGCTGATGAATGAATAAACAAAATATGGTGTATTCATAAAATTAAAGATTATTCAACCATAAAATGAAATCCAGATACATGTACAACATGGATGAGCCTTGAAAACAATATGCTAATTGAAAGGAGACAGTTACAAAAGACCATATACTGTATGATTCTATTTTTATGAAATATCTAGAAAAGGCAAATCTATGGGGACAGAAAGTAATTAGCAGTTGCCAGAGGTGTTAAAGGAAATGGAGGGGTGGTTGGCTGCTAATGGGAGCAGCAATTCTTTATGAGGTGATCAGAATGTTCTAGAACATGTGGTGATAAATGCACAATTCTGTGAATATATCTAAAAACTACTAAAGTGTACACTTTAAAATAGTAAATTTTATGGTATGTGAACCAGATGTCAATTTCTTAAAACATGCAAAAGATGTGTCACTGCAGGAGTTCACTGGAAAAATATTAATAAAATTTAGAAGACCTTAGAGACTTCCAGGAGGAGGGGATAATTGAGCTAGGTCTTCAGGGATGCATTAGATTTAGGTTTAAGGAGAGAAGGCATTTCAGAGGCGATGAAGAAGGTGACAAAGTAAAGTTGGTCATTGTTCTAGTCATGAAAAAAAGAACCAACATATCTTGTAATAATATTGTCAATGAACCTGCGCCCTCCCCTGCTAAAAGCATTGTCATTTACCTCTGCTTCGGGTGGAATTCACAGTTCAAGGCAGCCAATATGCAAACAATCTAAGCCTCTATTTTCACAGCTGTGGCTTACCAATTTCTTTTTAAAATACCGACTTTTAGAGTTCTGTCCCACTCGATTACATTGAACGAAATCCGAGATAGTCTATCTTTCACCCAGAAATATTTCAGCATTACACTCTTTTTTTTTTTTTTGAGACGGAGTTTCGCTCTTGTTACCCAGGCTGGAGTGCAATGGCGCGATCTCGGCTCACCGCAACCTCCGCCTCCTGGGTTCAGGCAATTCTCCTGCCTCAGCCTCCTGAGTAGCTGGGATTACAGGCACGCGCCACCATGCCCAGCTAATTTTTGTATTTTTAGTAGAGACGGGGTTTCACCATGTTGACCAGGATGGTCTCGATCTCTTGATCTCGTGATCCACCCGCCTCGGCCTCCCACAGTGCTGGGATTACAGGCTTGAGCCACCGCGCCCGGCCAGCATTACACTCTTAATGGTTGACATTAACCTTGCATGATCTATCACTGTATGATACTCATCCTATGACTGTGCCATATTATCATTGACTTTCCCAATATTTGAAGGTCTGAGTTTCAAAAAGGACATCAATGTCAACTTTTAGTCATGTAAATAGAATTGAAAACAATGCTGCTTATCTTGATAAGGTTTCTATAGTTTACTATTAGATATTAGAGGTCAAGTCTCCCCTTGGAATCAGATCCGTTCAGGAGACTGTATCATGGTGTCGCATAGCAGAACTGCCATTTAAGAATAACATTCTCGGCACATTCATCCACATTCCAAAAATATTCTGCTTGGCCCTGATCACAGGATCTGAGAAGAAGCTGGTCATAGTGAGCACAAAGTTTGGGAGAGATTCCTGCTGAAACAATAGCTCTGTAGGACAAAAGAGGAAAAGCATGGGATTCTTGGGATTGGAAGAACATTCAAAAGCAGCTAATCCAGCCTCCTGCCCAATGAACAAATTTCCTCTGACAATGCTATTAGATAAGAATCACCTTGACTTCAAATAGACACAGCTTTATGTTCAACCTGCTCATGACTGGACAATTTTTATCTAGACAGTCCTCTTAGCATGGCCAAAGCCACAAATGACAGAAGACATAATAAACTCTAGAAAGATACATAATATCAAGAGCATGTTTCTTACTTAACCTAGGCACTATAGACATTTAGAGCAGGATAATTCTTTGTTGTAGGGGCTGTTCTGTGCCCTGTAAGATATTTAGTAGCATCTCTGACCTCTACCCACTTATATGCCCATAGCACCCCTCCCCAAGATGTAGCAAGCAAATATGTAAAAATGTCTCCAGACATTGCCAAATGTCCCTTGGTCAGGGAGCAGGGGTGGGAGAGGGCAAAATTGCCCCCAATTTAGAGCCACGGGACTAGAGGCATTACATGTTAAAAACTACAGGAGGGAGGCTGCGACCTAACAGCCATTCATATATACAGTATATTAGAATACTTACAACTTGAACAATACTATACCCTATACCCTTCATCACCCAACAGCAAGTTCTTTGACATTACCCAAACTCGGCAAATGTTTGGTGACTTAAATAAAACCATATGATTGCATATATTTCCTGTTTTAGAATAAGTCAGTAAAAAGGCTAGTGCATATGTTTTTATTACATACATATATACATATAAATAATTGAAAGAGATCTGATAGCATGTTAAATTTTAAAACTCAGTAGGGTTATTATTTAGTCAGGCTTTACTGTGTCCCATTACAGTCCAATAACTTTATGTATAGCATGCTGCTAAATTCTGACTCCATCTCTGAGACAGAGAGATCTACTGACTCAATTATAATATGATAACACCAAGGCTCAAAAAGAACTTGCTAGAAGTCGTCCAGTTAGTAGATACCATTAAGTAGTTAGTAGATGAAATTTGAAACCATGCTTGATTCCAAACACAAACCCAAAGTACAACATTGCAATGAAATTTAGGATCTGATTCCCAAGCTCTTGGCCATAGAAGTATGCTGTACATAAGTGTCTTAAGTTTGTCTGCTTAGTTTTAAAGAATTATAAATATGAACAATTGAGAACAATTCAAATATGTATCAAGTTTTTTCAACCATTTTGGTTCCACCTTCTTTGAACATTTTCAAAACATAAAAGACTGTGAGTCAGACTTTGAGCCCATGCCTAATTTAAACAAGACTTTATATAGCAGATTAATTAACAAAATAGAAGATTGCCCTGCTCTATTTCACATTGCAACGAGCCAGGCTTTATCGTACAGGGGTCACCTCCCTTTTAGAATGGCTTTGTCCACAACTATGCTTGTATAGAGAAGTCTACAAATCACTGGCTCTCTGTGAGTATCAGCTCCAAGAAGCTGCTCTGGTAACACCAAGCCATGCTTGCAATTTAACAAACCCTGTAAGTGGAGGAAAAAAGAGCCTTCCACCCAAATGCCAAATCTAAATGTTTCACAAAGGAATGATATTTGAAATATCTATTTCATTTTTGCCTGACACTCCCCTATTCTCCCAGAGCCCTGTTACATAAAGCATTAGGTGTTCTGGGGAATAATTGAGCATCAGTTGTGGCAGAGTGTAGGAGGATGCCTAGGTTACCTCCATTATCACACACTCTATTTAGGAGGGGGGCAAGTCCTATTTATATAAGCCCAGATGAAGATACACCCTAGCAATTTGGGAGGGTGATCACCAAAATAAATAGGTAATTTCACTTGAACACCTTGTACTAAGCACAAACCTGCTTACTGTCTTCATCTTCTTATAAAGGAACAGGCATCATTGAAAACAATAGTTTGCGTTGGCTGCTCAGTATGGGAAAGTTAAGGGGTTGAGATTCAAAGCTGAGAAGAATACGGGCAGAGAAGAGCAACTGAATTTTACTGTGCAATATTAAAACAATACTCTGTATCCTCCCTACCTATTAAGACATCCTGACAATTTTAGCGTGAGAAAAGAACAGCAATCTTGGGGGGCTCAGGGCTACATGTAGGTATAGGGGAGAATTAGTGATAGTTGATGTGAAAACTTCCCCAGTAGGGAACTGAGTCAAATCAGTCATCTTTTGGTTCCTCATTCAGTTCTCTAAAGCCCTGATGTCAAATACAACAGCCACTAGCCCCAAGTGACTGGAAATATGGCCTGGCTAGTCAGAATTAAAATGTTCTATAAGTGAGAAATACACACAATATTTCAAAGGCTTGGCATAAAAATGTATGCATCTCATTAGTAACTTTTCTATTGTTTGAATAGGAAAATGATAATATTTCAGGTATATTAGGTTCAGATATATTAGGTTAAATAAAATATATTACTGTTTCCTTTTATTTTTAAACTTATCTAAATGTGGCTATTACAAAATTTAAAATTACATATGTGGTCTGGATTTCATTTCTATTGGACAGCCCTAATCAGGCTGAAAGTTACTTTAAGGCATAATTTATGTTGAGCTCAAAGGAAGGCGCTTCCATAGAAAAGTATTTCTTGACTGAGCTTGGCTCCCTATCTCAAAATGTTAACTTCAAATATTCTTCAAAACTGAAGTTTCATTCACTGTCTTCTTGGCAAAATCTGTTAGATAAACAAATCTTCTACTCTTTGAGACATGAAAAAAGATGGTTAACAATGTAACTAAATTTTCTTCCTTTACAGACATACTTAAACCGTGTTAAAGCAGAGATAAAACAGGCTCTAAGATTGAAATGGGCTCATAATTAGGTGCTAATGTTGAATATCCTGTAATGTTTCAAAAAGACACGTAGATGGAAAAAGTCCAGGTCTGCACAAGGCCACAGAGGAAACGTTGCGTTTATGAATGCAAATATGTTACAGATATCCAAGTTTCACCAGTCTATGCCTTCCTATATTTCTTGCTTTTTGGCATCTCCTCTTCATTTTCATTTCTACCACTTAACTGATTCATACCTGGGGCAGAGGCAAAGCTGTCTTCCTCATCTCTCTGATGAGCCTCTCTACTCATTGCATCTCCTATTGCTAATCTGTCTTGTTCTCCTACCATTGCAAATCATCTCAACTTTTGGCTCAAGAGCCTATCAGAGTAGCAAGCAGCCAGGATCAGGGTCATCTTTGCATCAAAGCCTTAAAATCCAATTCTGTATAACCCAGCCAAGCAAGA